ATAAGTTTTGTAATACTAAGTTTTTGCAAAATTGATCATTTAGGGCTAATATTTTGAATAAAGGCACTATCATCTATTAATTATATTTTCCTGTGTCATCTTGCTCTATTGGTATTTTGTTTGTCATCAATGTTTTGAACACAAGTACAATCATTAGACATTCAAAGGTTTAAGCATATAGTTCAGATTTTTTGTAAACAATTTATTTATCTAATCCCTGTATAATACACATTTGTGTATAAATAAATAATAATAAAAAAGTTAATTATTGTATACTTTTTAATGTAAACGTCAACTTTTAAAGTTGTTCTTCATCACTTGCAACCATTATATCTTTAAATCACCATCACTGTTATACAGTTTCATATGTTTATTTGGGAAAACAGTGTATTCCAGATTTGTGAAAAGTCAAAATAATTCATCAGTCTACTTGATATAAAAAAGCTTGCTCAACAGTAATCGTAAAACATTGTAGGGGAACACCAACTCAGAAAAGAAGATCTCCTCAGCTCAAACAGTAAACAGTTCACCTCACCTTAAACAAACATCATTCCTGTGTTTTGTGTTTGAAACTGTAAAATAAGATTCATCTATTCCCTTGGGAACACACAGATGTTTTTGTTTGCGTTTCAACTCAGCTCACAAACTTCTTAGTTGACACTAATGTAATAATAAAAAAAAAACCTGTCAATGTGTTAACTTCACTGCCAATTTGAAATCATTTCCCATGAAAGGGACACATCGTTTTAATGAGAGCTTTTGGTTCAACTGACCTCGAAGTTTGAAACATCTGAACTTGCTACACTTTGATATTTACTTTTATCAAAAAAAGTAGCATTTCTCCCAGGATGGGTTCCCATGAAGATAACACCATAAGAATCCTTTTCTTTTTCAGGAGATGGACAGCGGCACCTTTAGGTGAAACATTACGTTATTAATTCCAAATGTCATTTCTGTTTTATTTTATACCTGAATGTTTATTTATGAAAATGTGTGTTTTAAGTCACATTTCTTCAAGATAAAACATTAGTCTTATTTTCTCTTTTTAAAAAGGGACACTTTTAAGGCAGAAAAAGGGACTATATTTATTTAATAGTCCTTTATAAAAACAAAGCCAAGAGTTAGGACCATCCATCTTCCGAGAGGTGGACCTTCATCTCTAAAACACACAGCCAGTTAACTTCTTCACAAGCATCTACTTCTACAACTTCTGCTACACACTTCACTGACACTCCGTCTCAGAAGACTTCACGTGAGTTATGGGGAGAAAACTCCAGTGAGAAACATGCTTCTGTACAAGAGAACTGGAGAGAAGAAACCCTGTTCCTGCACTGGACTCAGAGAGGAGAGAAGCATCCTTTCTGCAGACGTCTCAGGACGAGAGAAAAGATGGAGTTCACAGAACCCAGCATCTAGCTGTCACCAGAACCCAGGGCTCCAGAATCCCACCGCAGAGGAGTGGAAAAATCCCAGCTGACTCCCATATGGACCGTCGTCCCTTTAAGATGACAAGTGAAATTTGAGGAGACCTCAGACTCAAACTTTAACTGGAACATCTGGGCTGGTACCATTTTTAAACAGCTGTTGGACCATTACTGACCATCTCATTCTGGTAGGAAAAAGACTTTTAATGCCTTTCTGGTGACACTACAAGAAAATAATCTTATCAGACAAACTAACGCTCACCTTAGACACAATTTTAACTACTTCACAAATAGGACCAGTCCAAATCTGCCTTTTAAGTTTCACTGATTTGAATAATCAATTAGACATTTGATGCTAAGCTATTTGTTATTCAGTTAATTTTGTCATGCATACTTTTCATCATATATATCACAGATTCTAAAAAGGTTAAATATGGTCCTCTGGACATTCAAAAAAAACCAAAACAAACAAAAACAAATGTAGAAACGTTTCGTCTCTCATCCGAAAGACTTCCTCAGTCTGAGGTGCTGTATTCAGCTCAGTCTTATAAATAGCACCTTCTCGGAGTGGATCAACCAGTTTTGCTGCTGACAACCAAAATCAGCTGCTCACATGATCAAGAAGGACATTTAGCCTGAAAATGGATCATTAGCACACTGCTGGCTGTTTACTATTCACAGGAGGCTGAGTGATACTAGCAATAACAACATTGTAGGGGGGGGGGGGGGATTGAACCCGGAGGCCTCCACCACTGTTTAATGATGGACAATTTATTTTCACAAAGATTGCCTCCTTTACTCATCTCTCAAACAATTGTTCCTCTCTATCCAGGATGTGAACATCTTCCTCCCTGAAAGAGTGACCGTTGGCCTAGAGATGAGTGTAGACCACAGTCTGGACTTTGAACAAGGCTGTTTATGCAATAGCTCATGCCATTCACCATGCAGTGTGTGAGGAAACAAATGTGACTATTCATTGTGACAAATACATAAAACTGGAGTCCAAAAAGGTAAAAAAATAAAAGAGATAATACTTTCTCATTACCTAAATAGTCCCCTAGACTTCAATAAAAAAAGTAATTTTAAGAGTAGTTAAATCCCTCTTTGTATCTTTCCTAAATTATAGGTAATGAATGAACTAAAAAAAGTCAACTTTTCCCGAAATGGTTATCCAGTGTCATTTGATGCTAATGGGGATCCTGTGGCTTTTTATGAGCTGGTCAACTGGCAGAAGAGAGAAAACGGAGTTATGGAGTTAGTAACAGTGGGATATTATGATGCATCACTTTCAAAAGGCCAGGAGTTTCAAATAAACATGGAGTGGTTGACGAGCTGCAACACATCTCACCTGTGGCAGCCAGGTATCTCTGAAACACAAGAGGAAAAAGCTCTCTCATAAAGAGTGCCCCTAGAGCTCATTGAACATAACACTGACAACTAATGAAAACCCCAGATTCAGTATCTTAGAATATTACTTAAGACCAATAAAAAAATGATTTTTAGAAATGTTGGCAAACTGAAAAGTATGAACATGAAAATTATTAGCATGTACAGCACTCAATACTTAGTTTGGGGCTCCTTTTGCCTGGATTACTGCGGCAATACATCATGGCATGGAGTTGATCAGTCTGTGGCACTGTGCAGGTGTTATGAGAACCCAGGTTGCTCTGAAAGTAGCCTTTAGCTCTTTTGAATTGTTGGGTCTGGCATATCACATCTTCCTCTTCACAATACCTTGTAGATTTTTATGGAGTTAAGGTCAGGTGAGTTTGTTGGCCAATAAATAATAGGGATATTATGGTTCTTAAACCAGGTACTGGTAGCTTTGGAACTGTGTGCAGGCACCAAATCCTGTTGGAAAATGAAATCTGCATCTCCATCAATTGGGTCAGCAGCAGGAAGCTTGAAGTGCTCTAAAACTTCCTGGTAGACAACTGCATTGATCTTGGACCTCAGAAACACAGTGGGCCAACACCAACAGATGACATGACACCCCAAACCATCACTGACTGTGGAAACTTGACACTTGACCTCAAACAATGTGGATTCTGTGCCTCTCCTCTCTTCCTCCAGACTCTAGGACCTTGATTTCCAAAGGAAATGCAAACTTTATTTTCATCAGAGAGCATAAATTTGGACCACTCAGCAGCAGTCCAGTCCTTTTTGTCTTTAGCCAAGGTGAGATGCTTCTGTCACTGTCTCTTGTTCAAGAGTGGCTTGACACAAGGAATGGAACAATCAATCAATCAATCAACCTTTATTTATACAGGTAAATCCCATTGAGCCTCGAGGACTCATTTACAAGAGAGACCTGATTTCAACAAAGAAAGATGACAACAATGGACAACAGCAACAACAATAAGCAGTTATAAAAACTCATACTACAGTTTTTTTTTTTTTTTTTTTTTTTTTTT